GAGATGCTAGTTCTCCTTGAACACCGTATACATCCCTGTACCCTCCTGGAATGCATAATAGAGTAAAAAGCTAGATGTTGAAGAGAAAATATTAATAATGTACAAGCATGCTAGAAAGAATGAATTTATTATTATTCTCATTCAAGCATCATACCAATTGGAGCGAGAAACATGCAAAATGACAGAGTCCCCTTATGTCCTTGGATACGTCTTTCTCACCTGAAATAACATCAGATTCTTAAACAAAGAAATTTCATAATATAATAAAACATAACTCCACAAGTCAGGGTAAGGTAAAAGTTAATATTTCATTTAATTAATCTAGAACAAGTGTAACTTAATGTTGAAGGATCATTTTTCTATAACCACTCAATTCCTTCAAGAAAAGGAAGGTAAAGAAATCTACAAACCGTAACTAGTGAGCTTGACTTCAGTTCTTCGGGAAATTCTAGAATGTATCATTAAAGATATCTAGAAAGGGAAGCAATAATTACACATAAGCAACATGGCTTCATCGATAACAAGTGATGTTAAATCAACCTTAATTCCCTTAAGAGGAGATCGCAAAATAGACACAGTTTACCTAGATTTTGGCAAAATGATTGATCATGTATCTCATGCTATTCTTTTGGAAAGCATGGAGAGATATGGGCTAGCTGATAATACTGTTGGATTTGGAGCTGGTTAAATGGCAGAACTCAAAGTTTGTTGTTGTTTCATTGTAACTGACTCTTCTTGAATTTTCTTGGCAAGATACTGGAGTGGTTGGCCATTTCTTTAGAGTTCATTTTACAGATAAGGAAAGGGTCAAGTGACTTGCCCAGGGTCACACAGCTAATGTCTGAGGCCAGATTTGAACTCACAAAAATGAGCCTTCCTGACTTAGGCCTGGCACTCTATCCCTATATGGGTGGAAAGATAGAGAAAGAGAAAGAGAAAGAGAGAAAGAGAGAGAGAGAGAGAGAGAGAGAGAGAGAGAGAGAGAGAGAGAGAGAGAGAGAGAGAGAGAGAGAGAGAGATTGTTGTGTGTGTGGTTTGCCCTTCATTGTCAAAGAGGACCACAGCATCAGGGAGATGATGACATGACTTGCAAGTGACTTTGATTTAAGTGAAGGAAGGCAGTGCAAAGTCACCAGCCTCACTTTCTCCTCCAGAGCCATATGGGTCCAGAGGCCAAATATCAATCAGGATGACTGGAGATGGCCCAGGATGCAGTGTTGACCCTTGGCCTTTGAGCTAAGGTCCCTTCAGGTTCTTTCTCTGAGTGAGGCAACTGCCCATTCAATGAATAGGCCTCTTTAAAAAGTTCGTCAAGGGATGGCCCCTTTAATCAAAGAAAAAATAAACAAATAAACTGGGAGGGGAATACCCTCTGGGTTGCTGGCCAGAAGAGAAACAGTTACTATTTACATTCACTCTGAGCCTGGTGGGCCCAAAAAATAATTAAGTGATGCTTGGGCAGGGACCCATTGTTGTCCAATCCATGAGATCCAGAATGAATGGGGTTTAAGGCTTGGTTTTTGAGACAGAAATCTATCCAGTAAACCCCAAGTTACACCCTCAGGTAAAGGGAGAGGAGAGGAGAAGGAGAGGGAGGGGAGGGAGAAGAGTACATATGTAAGTATACGTGTAAATATATATGTAAACATATATGAATGAACCCAAGATTCATATACTGACATCCTTGTTAGAAAAATTCTCACTCTATTAGTAATTTACTATCATCTCCCCCCAAAACAACAACAACAAAACCCTTTTTCTTTCTGGATCTGAGGTTTTTTTGTTTTTTTTTTCTAACTAAAGAACTTCAGAATCCATGCAGAAGAATGTCAGCAGGCCCAGCCTTTCGGCAGTTTATATCTCCTCTTTTTTACATCCTGGCTCTGAATGTGGTGATTGCAACAGCAATGCTAGTGAGACAGTACAGAATTGTAGAACAGAATACCAATACTTTTGAGGTTTATTTAGGGGTGCTGGGACCCCGAAATAGCAACAGGCAGGTCCTGCCCAGAATGAATTCGACCAAAGCCTTCTTTCAGTCAAAGACAAGTTTTATTAAAAAACCAATAGAGGATAGGCATGATTCTAACAATCTGACATATTGGGCAGACTCTTTAAGAATCTAAGCACTGGTTAGACTCTTAAGGATTCTGAGCCATTGGCCAGATTTTAAGAATTTGAGCACTTTAATGACAGCCAAGATGGATTTTATATACAGAAAGACTGTGGGAGGGATCTAGGAGTGACCAAGTAACTCGGAGAAGAGGTCTGGGGAGGATCTCAGTGGGAGTGGCCAGTAGGCTGGAGTGACTGGGAGATAAAATGGGGTCTAGATAGAATCAAGGGTGGGAAGTGGCAGGGGCTATTTGAAGATAACAGAAAATGAGAGGGCTGGGCAACACAGAATTGGGAGATTGGGCATAGGCCACAATGAAAGGCCAGTTGAGAGGATTATAGCCTCAGGCTAATGCCAGACACTTGGGAACCAGGGACCTGGGCCCAGGGCTTTTCCTTTTGGGGATCCAGATCCCAAAGACAGTCTTTTCTTTTTCGGGGTTCAGATCTCATCCCCATCAATACCAGAAGCTACAGAGCTACTGAAAGTATCTAACCTAAAGCGAGAAACATTTCCTCAAAACACTAATAAAATACAGTTTTAGGGCTGGACAGTTTATGAATAGAGACTTTAAAAAAAAATAAATCTGAAGGGAACCTAATAAAACCAATAAATTCCTAAGACATTTTGGTGAAAGTATATTTCATTCAATGAAACACCTTTACCTTTAAGATGTTAACACTTTACATTGAACAGCCCACTATACAACCTTACAAAGGAATTCATGTCCCCATTAAGGCTACAGGAGTGAACTTCACGAAAATTATTGGGAAACATATTTTATAAGAAATAATGCCAAGATTATCTCAAATAAATTCAATTCAAAAGATGAACACTATTTTTGGTGAGGTATTTTGCACACAAGTACATTTTAAAAAACCACATTTTTATCAATGAGGCTTGCTGAACAAATTTTCAGACGGCACAAAGCTGAAATAGCTAAAACATGGGATGACAGAGTCAGGACCCAAAAAGATCCCGACAGGTTAGAAAAATTGGGCTGATTCAAATAAGATTAAACTTTGAAAGGATTCATGTAAACTCTTATGTTTGGAATTAAGAAACTGATCTCACAAATATAAGATGAAGTTCGTCTGAAAAAGATCAGAGGATTTTAGAGAAATGAGGTCAAAATAAATCAGCAATGTGATAGGTCAAACAGGCTGATGCTGAATTAAGAGAGGTGTAGACCCCCAGGGGTAAGAAAAAGGAGGTGATGGCTGTGGTCAGACCACAGGCAGATTAGGCTCGGTTCTGACTACTGCATTTTTGAGAAGCCACTGAGCGGTCGTAGTGTCCAGAGGACTGCAGCCAGAACGCGGAAGGGCCTGAAGTCCTGGCTGTGCGAGGATCATTAGAAGGAAACGTTTGGTCTGGAGAAGAGGAGGCTCGGGTTTCCGGTACCTAGAGGACTTGTCTGGTCCGGGGAACAGAGCGAGGGGCGGGAGGCAAAGAGGCAAATTTAGGCTTTGTATTGAACCTTCCTATTCTAAGGACGTTAATTTAGGTTCCATAAAGAGGACAGAAAAGATTTAAGGTGCAGGATTTCCCATGGCAGGAGAACAGATAAACAATCCGGCCACTGCACTTGTCAGACTTTACTGGGTCAATAGTGGGCAACACTACAGGGCGTCCCGGACGTCGGAGGTGCGGGCACTCCCTCCAGTGATGCTAGATCGCAGTGCATCGCGCTTTCCTCTTCATCCCAGGCCACTCTGAATCCGTGTCCTCTGCCCGAGTCCTCCTCCATCCCCCGGCTTCCTCCAGTGTGTGGGGGGGTGGGGAAGGGAGGTGGTGGGCAGCTCCTGCTACGCCGCGGCTCGCGGGACACCCATGCATCCCTCGGCTCTGCATCCCGCAAGCTCACCGCGCGCTTGGCCGCCTCCGAGGTCGCCCGGACATCGCCTCTTACTCCCCTCGTGGGGCGCGAGTCGGAGTTGGTAAAGCATGGCCCGGCATTATTTATTAAACACTTGTGCGCTCGTGACTTGGGATTGAGCTGCAGTTAATTACACTTTTTAGAGGGGGGAGGGGGGAGAGAAGAGGCGTGTGTAATTCAGTAGATGACCAGAGAAAAGTCCTCCCCGAGGCTGCTGCGGGGCTAGAAAAAGCAGTATCCCTAAGACCGATCGCTTTCCGCCGGGAGTACCTTGCAGATGGGCTATTTCAAGTCCGTGGGGCCAGCCGGGAAGACCAGGGCCGCTAAGACGAGAAAGCGGGATGAGAACACCGCCGCTATAAAGCTAAAGGAAATCAGGAGAGGCCTTGAGGTAGCGAGGCCTTCGATAGCTCAGTTGGTAGAGCGGAGGACTGTAGTAGAATTACTCTGGCTATCCTTAGGTCGCTGGTTCGATTCCGGCTCGAAGGACTTCTCCACGCTTTTTCCTTCCCCTCATGCTTAATTAACGCAATTCATGAATCGGGGTACTGTACCCTTTATTTCTTGGATGCTTAGTTAATGTAATTCATTTAAGTAATATTCATGAATCGGGGTACTGTACCCTTTATTTCTTGGATGCTTAGTTAATGTAATTCATTTAAGTAATCGGGTTAGTGTAACCGTTATTTCTTGGATGCTTAATTAACGTAATTATCTAATTAATCGAGTTAGTGTATGTAAATGTTTGCATGCGTACCCTGCCCCCGACTTTTTTGCCCAAAAGAACCTGCTCGCATTTAACCGAGCAAAAGACATGTAGGGGGAGTGTCCCAGAATTAGCGCCGCATTATCAGATGTGTGAAGGCCGATTCTGGCGGTGTGCGCGGTTTACGTCCTGATGGGTGGAGCCTTACTCCTGAATTTGTGTTTCTGCTGATTCTTCTGGTAGATTATTGTATTTTCGTCTCACTAGCCAACGAAAAGCCTCGTTTCCTAGCAATTGACCCAGGATGTTCTTCAGGGATCGCTAAGGGGGCGTGGCAAGCGCGGAGTGACTGCACTTTCTACCCTAAGGAAAAGTGAAAAACAAAAACGGTAAGTGGGGGATTAGCTCAAATGGTAGAGCGCTCGCTTAGCATGCGAGAGGTAGCGGGATCGATGCCCGCATCCTCCAGTGGGTGACTTTTTTTTTTCCCCCTCCTCCGCATCTGTGTGGGTTCCTACCCGACAATTCGGAGACTTAAAAGCTTACAACTAGTTTTGTTCTTATTCTCTTATTATCGCGGTCATTACTGATAAAAAGCAGTTATTTTTCCACTCCGCTGCTCGGTGCTGCAGTCTCTTTACAATCCCGCCCCAATGACTGTTAACTGTCTCCGGAGCAGCGGACGCGAATGGAATTCTCTCAAGAGCCGGGTAGCTGCGAACCCCAAGACGTTACTTTGCTTGGGAACCCAGACCCCGACGACCGCGAGGGGAGAAAAAGAACCCCTCCCCCCTTCCACTCCGACCAATGGCAGTGATCGTTGCAGGATGGGAGGGCAGCTGCGCCCGCGGCCAATAGGCGGATGGCTTGTTGTTTCCTGGCAGAGCGGAGTCCCGGCGCCGCGGCGCTCCCGTTTTGTTTGGGTCCTGGGCGACGGGGCCCGGGCGCTGAGCCGGGGCTGGAGGCGCAGCCACGCTGACGGGAGGAGGAACGGGAGCGCCGGCCCCGAGAGAGGTGAGGGGCTCTCCGCGGCCGGCCCCGCCCCCCTCTGCCCCGGAGCCCCCTCCTGGGATACTGCCCCGGCCCCGCCCCCGTCGCTCCGGCTGCCGCCGCTGCCGGCCCGGCGCCGCGCTTGGCCCGGAGCCCGGAGCCAGGCGCCCGACCCCGCTTCCCGCGCCCGGGCCGGGCAGGTGGTCGGTCTAGTCCCCTGCCCCACGCCCAGCGCCTGGACGGCTGTTCTCCACTCCTGCCTCTTGGTCTTTTGGGGAATTGATTTGGTATGGGCTCGGGGCTTGCAACCCCTCCCTCAGCTGCCGGGCCCCCGGGGAGGGCAGCCCGGGCCCGGGCTCAGCCCCAATATCCCTGCCGGAGTTGAGGTGTAGAGCTGCTCGGTGACGTGGACGACCCCTGCCCCGCTTCCTCGTGCCTGGAATAAGCCGCCCTTGTTCTACCTTCTTTTCCACAATAGGTGGAATGAGAAGCTGGGCCCGGGAGGCTGCAGAAGTGTCTCTCCAGGTTAAGCTGATCCACCCGGGGGAGGGGGTGGGGGAGAGGGGGGGAGGGTCTCCGAGGTGAAGCTTGAGTCCTCCCTCCAGGTGGTGCCCGACTGGGGCTGGGGGGGGTCCTCCTCGGGGATGCCCCTCCTATATATCGGAGTTGGGGTGTACTCCCTAGGCCCATCTTATTACACTGCGAAGACTTTGGGCGGGAAAGAGACTCAGAGTCTGGTGTTCTCAGCATGGTTTATGGTTTAATCACGATATGCCCTCCCGGGGATGGAAGCTCCTGGGGCCTGGAGATCGGCATAGCCAGTGCAGTAGCATAATGGGGTTGGGTCACAGCCCGAAGTCCAGAGTACGTGGTGGCAGCTCTTTTGGTGTTCTGTAGCAAAGCTGCTTCCCGGTTTTCCTGAAGTACTGGAAAGCACCGTCAGAACCCTAGAGACTAACAAAGTCAGTTTTCACAGCTTGTCTTCTTCCCTCTCCTTCCTTCCCTATCCCCATCCCACCCCCTTAGCTCTCAGGGCCAGTCTGGGGCAGGAGGATGCTTACTCAGCCCCACCATGGAGCTGCGCTGTGGGGGACTGCTGTTCAGTTCCCGCTTTGACTCAGGGAACTTGGCCCATGTGGAGAAGGTGGATTCTGTGGCTAGTGAAGGGGAGGGGGGCGGGAGTGGGGGATCAGCCCCCACCACCGGCGGAATATCCTCCACCTCTGACTACGAATTCAACGTGTGGACACGGCCTGATTGTGCTGAAACAGAATATGAGAATGGGAACAGGTATGAAGCTGGGGTTAAGGGGAGGGAATATGCAGAAACCAAGCGCCATACTTCCTTTGGCCTTACTCTCCTGCCTGTCCTCCCAGGGACCTACTTGTCTTTCCTCAGTTTCACAATACCCTACTTCTCATCCCCATAGAACAGCCTTTTCCCATTCTTTCTACTAACCTGCCTTGCTCCATTCCTCTTGCTACCTCATCACTCTCCCTTATAGACTTGTCTCTCCCTACTCTACCCCATTAGGTCATGGTTCTACTTCAGTGTCCGGGGAGGAGTTCCAGGAAAACTCATAAAGATCAACATCATGAACATGAACAAGCAAAGCAAACTGTACTCCCAGGGCATGGCACCCTTTGTGCGCACACTACCCACTCGACCTCGTTGGGAACGAATCCGTGACAGGCCTACCTTTGAGGTATAATTTCCATACAGAAGAAGGAACTGTATTGCTACAGACAGAAACTAAAAAGTGGGGTGCAGAGATCCCTTAAGAGAAAGAAATCTGTCTCTAGTACAATGAACTAGGAAGAAAGGACTCTACTTTGACCCTCTCCTTTAAACTCAAGCTACGTCTGTAGCTTTTAATGGGTCTCTGATGCTGGTGTCTAAGAAGGCAATGAAAAGCCTGGTTGCTAAGGCAAATAACTACATTGAGACAGGTGGTATATTCTCAACTGTGAAGCTGAGAAACCAGTTGCTATTGCAGTGATGCTAAAGGGCTAGACGCTAATTCAGTGGGCTGAAAAGACTAGCTGCCGATACCGAGTTAAGTATTTATAGGGGTAGTAGTTGGTTGCCTTTTCCTCTTCTTCCTCTGTCCCCTTAGATGACAGAGACACAATTTGTGCTGTCCTTTGTGCACCGCTTCGTGGAGGGTCGTGGGGCCACCACCTTCTTCGCCTTCTGCTACCCCTTCTCCTACAGTGACTGCCAGGATCTGCTGAACCAGCTAGACCAGCGCTTCCTGGAGAACCATCCTTCCCTTAGCAGGTGATGTATCCTGCCTTTTCTCCCTCCACAAACTGGGACCAAACACTGCCTCTGCTTCTCCTGTGATTTGCCCTAAGAGCTCTCAATTGATACTTTTTTGCATTCAGTTTCTAAATTACAAAGGTGTGGGGTTTGGGACCAGGTAGTTTGTCCCTCTATCTCTACCTTAATTCCCATCTGCAAATGTGGGTTGTCCCTTCTTGAGACATTGGGGGACTCCCCTGGCCTGATGACCTTATCCTTGCAGTCCTTTAGATTCCATCTATTACCACCGAGAACTCCTTTGCAACTCTCTGGATGGACTTCGTGTAGATCTACTGACTGTGAGTTCCTGTCATGGACTTCGAGATGAAAGAGAACCCCGTCTGGAGCAACTATTTCCTGACACCAGCACACCCCGGCCGTTCTGTTTCTCAGGCAAGAGGGTGAGTGGGGAGGAAAGAAAAGGTTGGCTCTTTGTCATCACAAGTGTCATGGCGGAGGCCAAGACACTTATGGGTGTTCGACCATGTACATCTAGTCAGCTCCTCCAGTCTTAGTCTAGGGCATGAACGACAGCTCAGACACCTTGCTACCACAGCCCCAGTTGGGGCTTAGTTTGTGTTCTTTTTTCTATTAGCATAGAACTAGAACTGACAGCCCTGATTGTTCTTTCCTTTTTATCACAGATATTCTTCTTGAGTAGTAGAGTGCACCCTGGGGAGACACCATCTAGCTTTGTCTTCAATGGTTTTTTGGACTTTATCCTTCGACCTGATGATCCTCGTGCCCAGACTCTACGTCGTCTTTTTGTTTTTAAGCTGATTCCCATGTTGAACCCAGATGGTGTGGTACGGGGTCATTATCGGTAAGAATACCTCCCCCTTCACCTCTTCTGATCATTTATAGTTCTCTTGATAAATGTTATGGTGTCACGATGAGGTAAAATTTACTCTGTCCTGCCTTCACAACTCTCCTGCGTCCTAAAGAGGGAATGCATCATTGGCCTGAAAAAGAATGCACCCTCCTGAACGTTTGGGGAGGACTGGGAAAGAAGATGGATGCAAGGTCACTTGGATTTGGAGAACTAGTCCCAGACTCCAGTAGTAATGCAATGTATATTATATTGATTTAACCACATACACCCTTCCAAAATACGGAGTACAATGCCAGGCCTGTAAGGAAAGTTCAACAATGATTAAGTTGATAATACCAGGAGTTGTAGAAGGTCTAGTTTTGTTTTCCAGTTTCTGGAGTCCTGGGGTGAGGTTGTCCTCACTCCTTTCCCTTCCTTGACTTTTCTACTTAAGATTTATTCAGACTATAGGATAATCAGTTCCCTGCCTCCTATATCTTTTGCCACTTACCCCAGTCTCTGTTTTCCCACTCCAGCTTTCCAGAACCCCACCTTACCCCTTGTTCCCACACAGGACAGACTCACGAGGAGTGAACCTGAATCGTCAGTATCTAAAGCCAGATGCAATCCTGCACCCAGCCATCTATGGGGCTAAGGCAGTGCTGCTCTACCACCATGTGCACTCACGTCTGAATCCCCATACTCCCTCTGACCACCAGCCCAATCCCCAACCCTCAGCCCCGCCTGGTCCTCTTTCTGAACTTGAAAAAACTGACAATCTCCATAGTGAGGCAGACCTTGCACTCTCAGCTGAAGGGGACAATCCTGAGTCCTGGACCCAAACTGAACCAGCAAGCCAGGACCCCAGTAGTTTGTGGTTTTTGGAATCAGAATCTGGTGAGGTGGAGCCAGCCCCTGAAACCATTCCCCCCAAGGAAAGTGGTGTGGCCTACTATGTGGACTTACATGGACATGCCTCTAAAAGGGGATGTTTCATGTATGGAAATAGCTTCAGTGATGAGAGTGCCCAGGTAGGGACCTTGAAACTGGCCTGGGTGGTATTCATTAGGAGTTAAGGGGTGGGAGTTGGGGGTGGGGGGTGGGAGAGGGCACAGTAGTGTTAATGTATAGAACGTGAGCAGAAGGAAGAATAGCCATAGGCTTGTCACTCTAGAAAGGAAATTAGCTGTCAGGGGGCAGCTGGCAATATGGAATTATGGATTTTTAAAATCAGGGTTTTAGTGCTAAGGACCAGGCTTTTCAAAATTATAAAAGAAATTAGGCCTTTTCTAATGGGAGCCAAATAGAAGAAATTGGGGGGAAGGGGGGACAGGAGAGAGTAGTAAAAGGGTCTGAAGGGAAAGAAATTATATTGTGTTGATTTAATCATACATACCTTTCTTAAACATCTAGTACAAAACCATGTAACAGTGAGAATTCCAGAATTATTAACCTGATACTGATAATTCTGGTAGTTATGTCTTGATATTGAATGTAGTGACTTACTTCCTTCTCTTTCCCACTACACTTTCTGAACTTGCCATTCATCCCAAATAGGTGGAAAATATGCTGTATCCAAAGCTTATCTCCCTGAATTCAGCACACTTTGACTTCCAAGGCTGCAATTTCTCAGAGAAGAACATGTATGCTCGGGATCGTCGAGATGGCCAGTCTAAGGAGGGCAGTGGGCGAGTTGCCATCTACAAAGCCTCAGGGATCATCCACAGGTTAGGGTGGACACTGGGAAAATAGAGCTTCAGCTTTTGGTTATCTTCTCTTAGGAATACTCATACCCAGCCTTGAGAGAGGAATGGGGGAAATGATTGTGATAGCCCAAGGCATCTCAGAAGAAAGGCCTTCAGATAAAGACTCTTGTCTCTGTGGATCAGCTTTCCACAGCTTAGCTTGGAGGATATAGTATTGGGGGTGGTTGCCAGCACATTGGGAAATAGCCCTTAATCTTTCCCTTGACCACTTTAGTATATTCAAGCCACATGTCATCTGTCCAGAGTAGTAATGTAAAGATCTCTGTGTCTTAGCTACACACTTGAATGCAACTACAACACTGGACGCTCAGTAAACAGTATCCCTGCTGCCTGCCATGACAATGGGCGTGCCAGCCCCCCTCCCCCACCTGCCTTCCGATCCAGATACACTGTGGAGCTCTTTGAACAGGTAATGAGCCATGGAGGTAGAAGCAAAGGTATTGGGCAGGGCAGCCTCAAACAAAGGTGGCCTACACCAGCGATTCTTAAACTGTGGGTCTCGACCACATATGGGGTCACAAAAAATTTGGCAGTGGTAAAAAGTTTCTGAACCAGCAACAACCAAAAATTAATTAAAAATCAAATGTATAACGAATCCAAGGTGTTTCTGACATGGCTTGCCTGTGTTGTCTAACAACTTCACCGAAACCCTGGTTCTGAACACAAAGCATATGCACTTTGCACTGCAAATGCCCTCAGGCTGTGTAACCCAAACAAATGAGGTGGAAATTTGATGAAAAATGTTTAAGGAGCCCTGGTCTACACTAACTTCACTTGACTAAAATCCTATGGAGAGATCATACTGCCACTAGGGTGACGTGGATGACCCCTGCCCAGCTTCCTCGTGCCTGGAATAAGCCACCCTTGTTCTACCTTCTTTTCCACAGTAGGTGGAATGGGAAACTGGGCCCGGGAGGCTGCAGAAGTGTCTCTCCAGGTTAAGCTGATCCACGAGGGGCAGGAGATGGAGGAGGGGGAGGGTGTCCTCTGAGGTGAATCTTGTTAGATCCTCCCAAATAATGGGGAGTTGAATACTCCTCAGCACTGCCAGTAGGGCTCCAATTGAATACTCCTTCCAATTTTGGGAGCATACCTTTGTCCAATACTTTTGGGGCTTAGGTTTTTCCCCTTATCTCATACTACCTTGTTTTTCTGGGCCATTCCTTTCATCATACAAGGGCATGTGTCTTTCCTGGCCTCATAGGAGGGGGGAATGGGGGAAACAGGCTGAAGCACAGCTGAATAATCATAGCCATGGTGGGGAGGAGGAGGGAACAAGAGTCTAGCTTGCAGAACTAGAATAGATGTTACTTGAGATCAGCCCCTTCTGTTCTGAAGGTCTTACAGTGCTTCTGACCTCAGTCTTTTCTGCTTAGGCTCTAAGAGCCAGAAATAGCTCCAGTTCTAAGGGACCTTGAGATACAGCCATTATTTCACAATGGAATAGGGAAATAGGGGAAAAGAGCTTTGTTCCCTCCTATAATCTATAGACCTTTCTACTCTAAGCCATTGAGGGTCACTAATCCCACAACAGAGAGTGCTGCCATCTGGCTTAATTCTCAAGATAGCAACTCATAAAAGTAATAGTATAAAAAGGAAAAAATTGAAGGCAGAGAACTTCAGTCTCAGCTTTGATAGGGGATGCACTATGGCTGTAGATGAGGGATAGTGACCTTCCCCTTAGCATATGTTACAACCAGAGTGCTCTGAGGCACAGGATAAATTTGAAGGACCCAAATCAAGAATGTTTCGGTTATCTCTTCTCAACCGAGCATGGTATGAAGCTCCCAAATACCGGATTGTACTTGAACTCCCTTGGCAGGTAGGACGGGCTGTGGCCATTGCAGCCCTGGACATGGCAGAATGCAATCCCTGGCCAAGAATTGTCCTGTCAGAGCACAGCTGCCTCAACAACTTGAGAGCCTGGATGCTGAGACATGTTCGTAACAGCAGAGGTGTAGGTAACAGCCTTAATGTAGGCATCAACAAAAGGAGAGGCTCTCGAACCCCACCGAAAGGCCCCAAGTAAGAACAACAGGATGGGAGGAAAGGGTGGGAAAGTGGAAGTTACTTGGTTTAGGGATAAAACATGAGTTCTCAACTATCTCAAAAATGTATGGAGTACTCAGAACATATTTAATTTTACAGCTAATGTGTACCATAGGATGCTTCCAGGAGGGGGAAAGGGTGTCATGAATTCAAATCCACAGTAACTCTTTGCTCAACAGATTGAGAATCCCTACTCTAGGGAAACAGTAAGCCAGACAAGGGAATGAGAGACTTCCCAGAAGGGTAGAGCTATCAACCTATCCCAGTCACAAGGAACATTTGCCACAGGAGGCTACTTGTAACTTCCTTAACAGCATGACCCAGATTGGGAGGGATTACATGAAATGGGCTTGTTAGCTAATCAGGAGGCAGAGAATTTCTCTTTCCTCTCCCTAGATACTAGTGCCTAACGGTCCTTAATCCAAAAATGATTTCCATTTGATTCTTCTTTAGGGAGAGACATGGAGGCTAAAAGACTTGGAACATACCCACTCCGGATTTCACCTGTTCTGTCTTGCTTCCTTGCAGTGGTTTGCCTATATCATGCTCTGAAAATACCCTGAGCCGGGCCCGAAGCTTCAGCACTGGTACCAGTGGCAGCAGCCAACAAAACTCTCCACAGATCAAAGCTTCACCCAGCTTTCCCTTTCATAGCAGTCGGTCCACAGGGCTACCAGGCCTGGGCCTTGGCACCCAGAAAAGCAGCCATCGGGTGCTGGGCCCCGTTAGAGGTAAGCTGATAAGGAAGTCCTTGGGACAAGTGTTCCATTTTCTCTGGTGTTGCTGGGGGAAAAATTAGCCCTGAAGACTCATTCTTGGGCCTGAGCCAAGGGGTAAACCAATAAAACCAATTTATAGCAGAATCTGTAGCCTCTCCTGAGACTTTGGTTTTCCTTGCAGAATGGCGGCCACAGACTGGGACCTATGGCCATGGGTAGAGGTCTTAGGCACTCTCTATCAAGAGCCCAGGGAACTATAAGGCCCCAACACATACCGAAAACCAGACAGGCCCTCTGACAAAAGGGAATGCTAGCTAACTGATAAATACTGAGACACATAATCTCTAAATCAAAGGTTATAGTATGCTGCTTTGTAGTCAGAATGAAAGCAGGCACTCTTTCCAAGTTGCAGCACTATGAAATAATGGCTGTATCCCAAGGTCCCTGAGAACTGGAGCTACTTCTGACTCTAGAGTGTAGGCAGAAAGACTGAGGTCAGAAGCACTGCAAGACCTCCAGAAAAGAAGGGGCGGACCTCGAATAACATCTATTCTAGTCCTGCAAGCTAGACTCTTGCTCCTTCCTCCTCCCCACCACGGCTATAATTATTCAGCGGTGCCTGAGTGACCCCAAGTGTTGCCCATAAAAATAATGGGAGCTCTAAGATTTTTCTTCTTAGAAAGAGGTTGGGCTATCAGGAGGGGAAAAAGGAAGTCACTGAGAAGCAACAGGGTGTAGTGGGAAACAGTCCTGGGTTCAAATCCTGGCTCTGCCACTTTCTACCTAGGAAACTTTGGACATGCTACTTAACCATTCTACATTTGTTTCCTCATCTGTAAAATGAAGGTGTTGACATGTATAAGCTAAGATTTTTTACAGGTCTAAATCTATGATTTTATGATTCTAAGAGTAGCCTGAAAGAAGGAACAGGGAAATAATTTATACCTCTAGAAGTAGATTAAAGATTGTTAAACTCTTTGTCACAGACCCCTTATCAGAATAATGTTTTTAAATGCATAAAGCAAAATAGGATTTGCAGAGGAAACCAAGTGTTACTGAAATAGCCCCAGGTTAAGAACCCTTGAATTAGACCATTAATCAGTGTCACGTGTGGCTTTTGGACTATTATAGCTGATGCACAATATGAAGGTTTCCAGGCTAGTGTTACTTTTAAGTTCAGCCGAAAGCTTTCTTTGCTCCTGAGAGGAACTCCTCTCTGGAGACTTCTTAGCTCTCATTCCTCCCATACCAGAGTGGTAGTGGATAGTAGTGGATGGTGTAGTGGAAAGTTCCCACTATAGGGAATCTGATCTTGGTTCTAATCCCAGCTTTGGCACTTAATTGTGTGGCCTTGGGAAAGTTAATTAGATTTTCTCACCTTCAGCTTTTTCATCTCTAAAATGGGTTGTTTACATATCTACAGATGGCACCTGAAGAGTTTGTGCATAAGACCTAATGCCTCCAGAGCTAGGCCCACTTGCTCCACTTCCCCCACTGGGATCCATAGTCTTATAGCAAAGGCTGATTGACCTGGCTTACAGTGTCATAGAAAGCTATCAGTCAAACTGCAGAGTGGCTGCTGCCTGGGAAGAAGTAACCATGGGGCTGCCTCAGGCAAGGGAGAATTCACAAGGTTGCCATAGATCCAAGACAAAACATGGAATCAGAGCTGAGGGAAGGAACCTTCAGGGAGGGAACAGGCAGACTATACTAAAGAGAAGAGTTCAGCTAAAACTTGTCCCCTGACCTTTTGGATGGTATCAGCCTATAAGTAAATTTGAGGGAAAGCACCCAATGTAGTAGAAAAAGCCCTGAATCTCTATGAACCTTAATCATCTTCTCTATAAAATGGGGGTGACATATATTGTAAAAAATTTTGTAAAACTGAGGCTACTTTACAGTAAAACCTGGATCATTTAATAGAGGCCTCCATCACCTCCTATCTGGGAAGACTAGTGGAGCCCTGATGCAGGGTCTTGGTAACTTTAGCTTTTGTGGTATCCAGCACAAAAGCTAGTGGGGGGTGGTGGTGGTGAGATATCCTTGCAATCTTTAATGCACCTGGCAGCTTTTGGTAGCGCAGCTGAACTGGGTTGAAGGGGCTCTTCTAGGTGGTGGGTAGAGGTTACATGAGGGAGAAAGCACTGCTGTCACCACTGTTCCTGTTGTGACTTCAGATAAAAAGATCTTGTCCTCCCAGAACAGAAGTTTCATCTCATTATCCTAAAATGTCATTCTAAGCTGTTCAAAATAGACCCCAGAACCCCAGCCCTCAACTACTTGTTGCCAGGTCAGAGAGCTTTGGAAGTCCTGGTTTTCTTTTTCTATTTTCCACCCAGATGACAGATGGGAAGGTTTCTAGCTTGTATCATGGGCCAAATTATGATGAGAAGAACTAGGAATTGTGGTGTCACAGAAGAGTGAAGGTCTATGAGTCTTTTTTTTAGGTTATTAGTTGGAGGTGCGACCTTTAAGCTCCCCACATTTTGTTCTCCAGGAGCCCAGACTCCTCTGTCATTCTATCCTCGAGTTCACATTATGGGGACAGAACAGGAATCAAGCAGCATGTGCTGATCAGTCAGTAAGCACCTAGCATATGCTTGGCATAGTGGATACAAATACAAAAGCTTACATTCTGTGTGGATTGGGGGGGTGGGAGTGGTTGAGAGATACAGGGCTCATAGAGATAAAATACAGAATTATATTAATTACTCTCAGGAGCATTAACAACTGGGGTAATCAGTGAGAGTCTCTTGCAGGAGGTGGCCCTGGAGCTGGGGACTCTAAGAGGCAGAGGTAGGGAAGGAAAGCTGCTGGACAAGAGGCATCCCCCAATGGGGACAGACATGACACAGATGTCATGTCATTTATGAGGAATGGCACAGCTGGCTAGTTTGGACCAAAGTGGGTGAGAAATATTATGTGATCAGCCTAGGCACAGAGGAGTTCATATTTTACTCCAAAGGCAACAGGAAGTCATTGGAGCTCCTTTGGTGGGGAAGTGACATGGGCAAGCTTTTGCTAAAGATTTTAACCCAAGGGTTTCCTGCCTCCAGTGCTCTTTCTGCTCTACTACCGAGCCTTGCCCCATTGGGACTGAAGTTTATAGAAAAGAAGTCAAGCTGTGGCTTAGGAACATACTGCTTAAATACTCCCAGCAACTTTAAGGGTTTTACACTCAAATGCCTTTACCATATCCTAGCTCCACCACCTTCTCCTTGACCTTAGAAAAAAACCTTGGTCCTCATACCACACTCATTTTTTAACATGTTTCTTGTTAGCTTTATAAGTGCTCAGTGCAGAGGCTTGTACGTGTTTCCAAAAAAACTAATCCCTTTCAACTAGCACCTATTGTGTGGATGACTCAGATCATCTCCAAAGTTATCTCACTCTCTCCAGGTCTGTATTCTTTCTAGCTACTGAGCATGTCCACTTGAATGAACACCCCAGTGATGTCCCCACTGTATCCTGAAGAGAAACAGTAGAGTTTCCAGGATCTTGGCCTACTAGCATTTCTGAACCAATGACAGTAGACAGTGTTCAGGATCTTTAGGCTGTGGCCAAGAATCTCTGATTCCTGCCACATTTCACTGTTTCTCTATGCTGGGTCCATTTCCCAATGTAAGTATGATTGACTATTGACTTACTGGTTACCCTACATCCCATGATAAATATGGATATATTGCAGGCCCCAGCATCTCAGCATGTCAGATACGGTGGGCTGGAAAATGGTTGTCATCTCAAATGTTTACTTTTTCCCTCCAGCCCACAGCTGAAAGATCACAGATTTAGAATTGGAGGGAACCTAGTTGAGACCCCTCAATCCCCCCCTTAATAAAAGGATTTGTTCTGTTTGGATCCAGTCAAAGGGCCACACTTGAGGATCTAGAGGGCCATGTGTGGCCTCAAGGCTGCAGGTTCCCCACCTGTGCATTAGGAGGTTTGGTGCCTTCTTATCACTATGTGTGCAATTCAATGGGATCCGGAGCTCCTGCCATTGCTCCTCTGAATTCTTGGCCCTAAACTTTTATCATCCAGTATCTCTTGCTGAATTCAGAGGGCTTGGCATCCAGCCTTCTGTCCTTATAGCTCTTGAATTCAACTGATCCTCAACACAATTTTGTGGATATAAACAGTTAATCCAACATGGCCAAGGTCTTGGGGTATACCTGCTGCCCAAGTATGATAGAAGTAACATAGCATGTGTTATTTCCATGATACAGGCAACATCTATTGTGCTCACCAGAATTCTAGACTTCAAAATTCCCAGCTTTGACCACAGTAGGCAGGACTTGGACAAGCTGCCCAGAATAGTTGTAGCAGATGCCCATAATCACAGCTGTAACCTGTGCAAGACTGAATCCATTTCTTAAGTTTAGTAGTGGTCAGGTGGGCAACCTACCAACTTGGCTAGCTTCTTCCAACCCCATGAATGGAAGCCTCTGTGAGGATGTCATCTGGGAGCCAACCCCGAATTTCTCCTCTAACAGGATCTCAGAGTTAAAGGAAACCTCAGCAGTTATCTAGTCCAATACATAACATACACCAAAAGTGGTCAACCTACCTCCTCAGATTCAAGTAACTGGGTACCTACTGCCTGCTTAAGACAGCCTACTCCACTTCTGAGGCAGCACTGAGCTAAAATCCATAATTTCTACCCCAAACTGCTCGTTCTCCCTTCTAAGATCAAGCAAACAAGAATGATGCCTCTTCTGCAAGACGGCCTTCCAGTTCTACTCCACTCTTCCTCCTAACACTGCTCTTCTCTAAGCTAAAAATCCCCAGTTCCTTCAACAGATACTCTAAGGTGTGGCCTGAATTCAGTTCTTTTACCATCCTAGTTGTCCTCCTCTGGATAGGACTGTTTGTAAATGGCTTTCCTAAAAAGTGCCCAGAATTGAAGACTATGCTCTGAATATGATGCCTTCAGTACAGCCTAAGATCATAACTAGCTTTTTTTGATTGCATTGTCTAATATTGAGATTGTTTACTAAACCCCAGAGATCTCATCCAGATGAAGTGCTGTCTACACATGCCTCCTCTATCCTTGCTTTATGAAATTAGGCCTTTTTTCCCCTCCAAACTCAAATGCAGGCCTTCAAATTCAGCCAATCACTTCATCCTATCAAGTCAACTGGGATAGTGATGAACTTGGAGTGACAAAGACCTGAATTCAAATTCTACCTCAGACACTAGCTGTGTAACCTTGGGTAAATCACTTAACTTTCCTCAGTCTGTTTCCTCATCTATAAGATGAGGATAATGGTAGCCTTATTTCACATGGTTATTGAGTAGATAAATAAGATACTATATGCAAATCTTAGAGTGCTATATAAATGCTAGCTATTGTTATTATTTGTATCCTGAACCTGTTAAATTATCCTTCCCAGCTTCACCTTGTTTGCAAATCTGGTAAATATATTACCTAAATTACTGATGAAAATGTAAATAGAATTGAGTTTATATATCACTAAAGGCCTCCCTCCAGGAAGATATCAAGCCATTAATGGTTATTCTTTAAATCCAGTCATTCAACCATATAAGACATCTAAATGTAATATCATCTAGCCCATACCTCTAAATATTTTCCATAAGAATAGCATGACACTGTCAAATATCTTGTGAAATCCAGATAAATTCTGTCGGTAGCATTCCCAATTTGTCAGTCTAGTAACTAGAGTCTAGTTAGTTATCCTGTTGGAAATTTTAGTAGAGAAAAGCATATTCTTGATGAAACCATGCTGACTTAATATTAGATCACCATTTCCTTTTCTAGATGTTCATAAATCATTCCTTTAACAGTGTTATAGATAGAATACTGTCAAGAATAGAAGTCAAATTCACAGGCCTCTGGTTTGTGGAACCTATTCTCTTCCTTTCTTTTTACAATTAAACCATTTGCTCTTTACCAATCCCAACACACCTCTCCTGGTCTCTACAGTCTTTTAAAAATCACAGTGGCTTAGCAATAGCATCTGCCTAGGATGTGACATACCCAAGACTGCTGACTTGAACTCACTCAGAATAGCTGGGATGAGTTTAGTATCTGTCTTGGTTTTTCAGCCCCCTTTAACATTTTTTTGTCCTGTCCTTTCCAGCACAAGAATCTTCGGCAGAGAAAAAAAATGCAAAGTTGAATATAATACGTTCTGTTGTCTATCATCTGCCATTATCCCATCCACCCCAGGCAGTAGTCCTAGCTCCTTCCCTCCCTCCCAACCCCAGTTTTTTTTTTCCAGCTCTTGCCTCAGCTAATTCTGAACTTTATGGCTTCTACCTACCACTGCTGTTACAGGATCATGCCACCATGGTATTCATCCCTCCTTCCAATTTATATATATATATATATATATATATATATATATATATATATATATATATATATATATATATATATATATACACACACATATATATATACACACACACATATATATATATACACACATATATATATACACATATATATATACACACATATATACGTATAGACATAGACGTATAGACGTATAGACATAGACGTATAGACGTATAGACATAGACGTATAGACGTATAGACATAGACGTATAGACATAGACGTATAGACGTATAGACATAGACGTATAGACGTATAGACATAGACGTATAGACGTATAGACATAGACGTATAGACGTATAGACATAGACGTATAGACGTATAGACATAGACGTATAGACGTATAGACATAGACGTATAGACGTATAGACATAGACGTATAGACATAGACGTATAGACGTATAGACACAGACGTATAGACGTATAGACATAGACGTATAGACATAGACGTATAGACGTATAGACATAGACGTATAGACATAGACGTATAGACGTATAGACAGACGTATAGACATAGACGTATAGACGTATACGTATAGACGTATACATGTATACGTATATATATACATATATATACACGTGTATATATATATACATATATATACACGTATATATATACATATATATACATGTATATATATACACACACACATATATATATATATATATATATTTTTTTTTATAATATGACTTAAATGGGCCAGTGAATTTTCTGTGCATCTCCATGAGTCTCTATACAACCTCATTCTTCCCAATGGAACTATTTATTTTTACATCTTCAGGATTTTATTCTTCAGGGTAGCCCTCTTGGGCTGACTTACCTTGATAAATTTTAAGCTTAAAAGATTCTACCTAACCTCTTTTTGAACCCTTTGAAATCTGCTCTCCAAAAATAGAATATACAGACTAGCCTGGCTTTCCTCTCCTTTATCAGTAATCTTAAAGTCTCATTTCTTAAATAATCTTAAGGTAGTCATTTCCCCCACAGTTACAGTAACCATCTTTGTTGTCAGAATTATGTCAGGATAGCAGCTCCCCTTGTTGTTTTCTCCATCTTCTGAAGGATGCAACTGGCATTTAGGTAAGCCAGGAATTTGTTAACTTTGTTTTTGGTATAGAACCCATCAGATCTCTGGATGACTGAAGTGCTTTGTCACTACTTTATCTTGCTTTCATGCCAGAATTGTGATCTATTTTCTAGCTTCTCATCTAGCTAAGTTAGAGGTTCTTAACTAGGGGGTCTGTGAACTTTTTTTTAATTACTATTTTGAAAGCTGTATTTTAATATAATTGGTTTCCTTTGTAATTCTGTATATTTTATTTTATGAATTTAAGAACATTATTCTGACAAGTCCCTCAGAGTCTGACACAAAAAAGATTAAGAACCTTTGATACAGGTGATCTATTGTGGAACTCCACAACAATTATCACTTGTGTTTCTTCCTTACTACATTTCTTAGTACAGTCACTCTCTGAAGCTTAGGAGCAAATACCTTGCAGAGCAAATACAATGTGGAAAGGAGCTCCACAGTGGCAGCAGCCTCCATTCCTCTCAGCAGTTGCCCAAGAGTCTCAACAATCCTTGCCACCTCAAAACAGAACAGACAACAGTCTAGAAAAATCGATTAGCGCAGGTCAGTACAAGCAATGTCAATTCTAGTGAGAACACGGATTAAGGCTGGCATCAGTGTTGGCTTCCAGCTTGGCCAGCTATAGTTCCTGCATGTAATTTCTAAACCACTGCTGCTCTTTGGCCTTTCTGAGAAAGTATCAAGTGATAATAATCAGAACACAATCATAACCATGTATACTCAAGATCAGGCAGTGCCTTCAAGCTGTACTCCCCTTCCTCCACCCTAGAAGCCCACAAAGGCAAGAGCCCAGGAATAGATATTAAATCTGTTAGGGAGAACAGAAATGGAATTTGGCTTTGCAATGGACTAGGTAAAAGTTCTGCCATCTTTTTGGGGAAACTAGCCCTGGATCCCCTCCTTGTGTGTGACAGATGCAGGGAGCACAACAGAGGAAAGAGAGGACTGCAGCAACACAGCAGGGAAGCAAAGACAAGGTCATGGGCAGAGCTGGGTTACTACAGACTGGAAAATCCGAGCAGGTAAAAGAAATAGGAACCAGATTAGCTAAGGGTTTATAAATTGGATGGGAAGTAACAATCGAATCTGCTAAATATGCATAACCTTAAAGACTGAAACTCAGTGATAGCCTATAGGGAAGAGGGTACTCAGTGGGAGTGGTTGTCCAAGGGACCCTTTGGAATAAAAAGAGGGCTTGTGAGGTGACGAAAAATAGGAAATGACAATATTAAATAATCTCTGACTAGGTCACTGGATAAGACTTCAAGATGTAGTTGGGAATAGTCAAGGTCATGGTTTCTCCCAAGGAAACAACCAAGATGGAAGAACAAACCCTGGGTTTAGTTCTTAACATCATACTTAAGTTTTCTTAACTAGAGAACAAAGTTAATTTTCTTTTGCCGTTGAATCTCTAAAGTTTATTAGAGATCCTCCCCATCTGAGGGTTACTCTAGAAAAGAGGGACAACAATATACACAAAGCCCAGGCCCCAACAAATCATCCAGCAAAGGGAACAAGCTGGGCAGTGAAACACACTCCCTACTGACTTGCCCTTTTATCCACTTCTGTCAACCTCTGCTCAGAGTCCCGAGGCCAGGACAGGAGACAGCGGCAGCAACCACTGACCAGTCGCCCTACCACAAGCAGCTTGGACTCACCCCCAACTCCTCCTAGTGCTGGCCCAGCCCCTTCAAGAAACATAGGCACTTGCTTACTGCCTACCTCACTTGGTGTAGCAGGTCTGTACGTAATGCCACTGTTACATGTTCTATCCAACTTCCCCCCATTCCTCCAGTCAATGGACCCAAAGTCAGTCTCATCAACAGAACTTTAGACAAATATCTGTTATCTCTGCTGCCACCTAGCCTGCCTTCCTGATCTATTCCTTCATATAGTCTCCATTTTACCCCTTAGTCACAAGCCTGGATTATTCTAATGCCCCACATAAAACATTTATATCCTCCAACAAAAGAGATTGGAATTTTATGACTTAAAAATAGACCTTCAATTGTGCCTACTCACATAGAGCCTTATAAAAGGACTTTTTCCAAGTTCCTGAATCACTGTCATGGTCAGACACTGGAAATCAGATAAGGGCAGGCTTTTGCAGGTGCCTTTTCCTGTCTGCTTCTACTTGGCTTGAACAAATCTCTTTTCTCTTGGTGAGTTCTCTGTAACAGAGTACCTTCTGGGCAGCCACTCCCATGCCTACAATGCTCATTTTATTGGTTCCCACCTTAGCTACCAGCTCAGATACCCTCTCCAGTCTTGGATTCCGACCTTATCTCTTAAGGTTTAACTTGGCACATCCACTTGGCACTCAAGATTGGGCAACTCCTTTAACAGTATTTTGTAGCCAAATTCTAACTAGAGCCAGATTAGGGGCTCCATGTCATCCCCAAGATGATAACTCAACATCATCCTTTGGATGCTGTGATCTGTAGTCCTTGAACTTTTTCAACATGGTCCCATTCCGGTGATAATTTTTGTTTTCTTTTGCTTTTTGGTGAGGCAGTTGGGGTTAAGTGACTTGCCCAGGGTCACACTGCTAGTGTCAAGTGTCTGAGGCCAGATTTGAACGATAATTTTCTCTTAATCCCTAGGGAGTAGCTGCACATTCTTGTCTGCAGGGGATAAACCAGAAACTGTCATGGTTATCGGGAAGGGGCTGCTGGGAAGTGGTTCTCGCACCCCCTGCATCAGGGCTCGACTGCAGGTAACACTTTGTGGCCTATCCCTGTTCCCAGCACAGTTGCCCTAACAGAGGGCAGATCTAGTGGATTCTTCATTCTGGTAGCGGGAGGGGGAATGTCTAACACTGCTCTATTGCCAAAATAGGGAACTTATATGAGGCATTCCCCATAAGAAATCCATAGAAATCTACCTACCCCTCACAGCTACCAACAATTCCCCAACCCACAATTCCAGTTTCTGTAGCCTCATTCTTTCTGCCAATCATACCCCAACCTCAGCTTCCTAGCTTTGGCTTCTCTTGTCCTTGCCTTCAGCCTCTGCTCTCTTTCTGCCCAGAACTGCCCGAGGAGAGTTTCCACCAGGAGGGGTCCCGGATTCCCCAGGTAACACCTCTGGCTACTGCTCCAAGGAGCAGCCATGCCACCAACCCCAGGGTCAGACAAAGCCCCCAGGCTAGTGTTGAACCCCTCTGGGTTGGAAGAAGTGGGTATAGGCAAAACTTGATTGGGTAAACTCCTCTGGCAGGGGCAGAGGAGTAGAGGAACTCTGAGGGAGGTTTGCACATACCCTACTATTTCCTCATGGAGAGCTTTATTTGCTCATCCAGCCCCTTGCTATGGAAGGGCCACAGAGGCTCAAAACTGTGGAGTACCTGGACCCTTTTTGCTATCCCCACCCTGGGTAAGACCCTGGAAGGCATAATCTAGGTTAGAGTCCTTTGCCCCAGTCCTATATTACTTGTCCCACTTAGGGACAGTCCCCAGGAGTTTAAAGTCCTAGTTCCTTTGTGTTAATCCCCTACTGTACCACACTCCCTCCATGGAGATGCCAGAATCAAGTCCAGGAAGTGAGAAGCTCAGGGGAAGAGTCTAGCCCTCAGCGCCAACCCCTATCCATACAGGCTAGGCCCGGGTTGGGCCGGGGCTCATCGCCGCCTGGCAGAGGGATGAGAGGCTCTTCGGGCCCCCCATCCCCCATCCCCCGGACCAGGGACAGCTCTGAGCCAGAGTCAGAGCCAGGATCCTGCTCTGTTGTACCGGGGTAAGCACAAGTGTCCTAACCCCCTCTTCCCATTGGAACCTGACTCCATGACCCTGACTCAGGTCATGTAATTTTTGTCTTCATTCTTGCCCTTCTTCACAGCTTTCTCTTTACAAAGGATTTTAATTTCCCTAATTCCCTTTGTCACCTTAGGGTTCAAATGGACAATCCCACTGAAAATTTCAGCCTCCTTGACTTTCCTACTAAGACATTACCTTTACCCTCACCAAGAAAATGTATAGCTGAGATTCCCCTTCCCCCATAGAAAGGCCTTAGAACCCTACTGCCCCCTCCCCCACCTCAGATCCTCCTAAGCTGAGAGTAGAGAAGAGGCAGAATTCATCAGCCTGACTCCCCTCTTTTCTGTTACAGGCTGTACCTGGTTGGGCCCCCACGGCCCCATTCTGCCCCTGCCTCCTCACTTCTGTCCTGTCCCATCATTTGCTCCCAGCCCCCAACTTGTTACAGTGGGGGGGCACTAGGACAGCCTGAGGATTGTTCTTTTATTAAGCCCCGCCAATCACTCAGTCTCCCAGCATATGATATTGCCCCTGACTCCATGGCAGGACATCCTTCCATGATTTTAGGGCACAGGAAATGCCCTAATCAGTTGCTTCTCCCCCTGTAACAACCATAGCTCCTTAGAGTCAGCCTCATTGTTCCAGACCTACTTTGGAGCAGGACAAAGGAACAGGGACCTCCCAGCCCCATCCCTCCCTCCACAGCACAGGAATTTGGGACCATATATATATATATATATATATATATATTTTTTTTTTAATATTGGTGGGTTGGAAAGGGAATCAGCTCCTACACTGAGCCCCATTCAGTGGCAGATTTTTGCCTCTGGCTTGTTTCATAGGATAGGGAAGACTTTGAGGAAATAAAAGTTGTTTGGAAAAAACTCAAGAAATGTTTGCTATTTTGAAAGGTGGACAGGATTGAATGTAGTGTAAAGAGCCCCCTACCACACACACTCCATCTAGCTTCAGACGTTATCAGGGGACCCCAGAAAAGAGGAGAGAATGTTGCTGCTGTAGCCCTCTTCCTGTGGAAGAAAGCCAGAGGGGTGGATGCCTCCAGAGATTTCTCCCTCACCCAATTCCTGGACAGCCTCTTCTTCATGGCCAACCTGAAGACCCACACAGGGTGATCTGCGGCTCCTTACCCACTGTGCACAGAAACCATTCCAGCTCTTCCCCACTCCCATCTCCCAGTAAGCAATCTCTGCCTCTTAACAAATGCCAGTTTAGCCTCAAAAGAGGAGGGGGATGTTTAATAGGGGCCCAAACCCCTCAGCCTTGGAGGAGCAGCTTCCCATTCTCTTCTCGGCTTTTGGTCCTGGTGGCAGGCGCCTCCGCGTCCCTCGAGGGCCGTTCCTGGGCTCAGGCTTGTGGCATCCTCAGCTCTGAGCAGGCAGGAGAGACAAGCACGAAAACGCTGCCTCCAGAGCACAGAGCCATCTGGGAGACACAAGGGGAGGGCGCAGGTGAAGCCAGGGCTGGCCCGAGCGGGCTTTCTCCGCCGCCAGCTCCGGAGGGCAGGAGGGCATTACCTGCAGCGGGGCCGCGCCTCCTCACTCCTGCTTCTTGGGGTTATTGACCGCCACGTAGTGATAGAGGACCACGAGCAGGAAGAGCGACACGCCCAGCATGTTGGCGAAGATGGCCAGCTGCACGTCCGTGATCATCCTAGGGACAGAGCAGAGCCGGCGGGCCGGGCTCAACCACCGCCAACGGACGGGCCCTCTGGGCCGGGCCGCCCGCGCCTCCGCCCTGCCGCCCCGCACAGTGAACCCGCCGCCGCCCCAGCCTCTCACTTGTTTCTTGGCGTTCCCACAGTGTTTGCAGAAAGGGAGCACTTTTGCGGCGCCGGACCGGAACTACGAGGAGTCTGCGCACCCCAAAGGAAACGTGGCCGGCCGCGCGTGGCGAGCAGAGGAAATGGCCACTCTAGTCCCTCACCCCGCCGCCTCGTATGCTCCCTAGGGCTCGGTTGGGCGGGCCAGGAACAGAAAGCCTCGTCAAAGATTGTGCGCATGCGCCAGCCCTCTGCCCCCGACCCGCCAGACCCACAGAGGGAGCCAATGCTTCGGCTTCGGGGGCCCCACGAGCTGGTGTGGGACGGAGGGAGCTGGGATCTCACTCTCCCTCCCTCCTCCCCCGTCCCCTTCCCTCCCCGGAGCATCTCTCCTGGGCCCTGCCTTCTAGTCAGCCATACTGCCCCAGAGCCCGGCCTTCGGCTCACAACGGCACCCCTCCCCCCACAAGAGCCGGGCCTCCTGCTTATGCACCCCCTCAGAGCCCAGCTTCCTATTCAAGCACACTGCCCCTCTGCTGGGCCTCCTGCACACGCGTGCCTAAGTGCATACACATATACACACGATAGCCCCAGCTACCTGCACATGCACATCTCCCTCTAGAGCCTTACCTCTTAAATGGGCATCCCACTTCAGAACCTAGCCTCTTTCATATACACATTTTCCCTATCCCAACCTCCTGTACACATGACACCCTTTACAAACTCTGACTCCTACATCCATTCAGTCACAAGTGTTTATTTAGTCCATAGCAGAGGTCCAGGTATAGGGCTAAACTCCTGAGATGCCAAAAAAGGACAATTCTTGCCTTCAAGGAGTTTACATTCTTGAGGGGAACAAATACACAGATAACAAAACACAAAATAGATGCCCAGTAATGGAAGGAGAGGTAAGGACTCCGAGAGGTGGACAAAAAGAGAGGGTGGGTAGCAGCCTGTGCAGAGTCATGGAGGCTAGAGATGCAATATCATGTATGAGGAACAATATGTAGGCCTAGACTAAAATATACAGCTGATATAGGGGTAGAGGCAAGGAGGAGACAGAACCAAGGTTTACAAAAGCATTGCAACCTTGTGAGTTAGGTGATGCCGGTATTATTTCTATTTCACAAAGGAGGAGATTGGCTCCCAGAGTGTCCTGGAATGCCAAGCTAAGGTGTTTTGGGGGTAAGGTCGTTATTTAGTAGGCACTTAGAGTTATACAAGTTTTCTGAACATCGGATAGGAATGATCTGGTCACTTGGGTGTTCACAGTGTTTGAGTTGGGACTCCAATCCAGGTGCTGTGTCTAAATCTAGGGTGTTTTCCACCTTGCCAGGGGGAAAAAGGTGAAACCTAACATGCACATGGCCACTTAACATAAACCTGGATGTTGGTCAACATTGCCAGGAGAGTTCATTACTCGTAGATTGAAGTGAGAAGAAGTTTCAAAAAGGAAAACAAACAATACAAGAAAAAACTTCCTAACACTTACAGTTGACCCAAAGTGATTCAGATGGGCTGCCTGAGGAAGTTAGAGGAGGGGGGACCTTGCAAGCAACGGCTAGAAGACCACATATTGGGATTTTTGATCAGGTACAGCTTGGACTAAAGGGCCTGCAAGATCCCTTTCAGATGACATTCACTGATTTCATTGGAGGAAAATGGCAGCTTAGCCAAGGTTCTTAATTCTAAAGCTTTTCATGACAACAGCAACATATACACTGTTTGGTACAATGTCTGTGGAAATAAGGTAGAAATACTGAAACCAAGAGAAATCAGGACATGCCTTAACAGCTTGGTGATGTGAGAATACATTCAAGGCAAAACTCACCTCATAACTCAACTGTTACTAACCATCACAATGACACGTCAGAGACCAGCTTCCTGTATTTACATCCCAACACACACCTACCGAATCCAGCCTTTCACACCCAGAAATAGACACATCGACAGTCCCTCTGAGGCCAGCCTCCCCAATGAGCCTGGCCCGTTACTTACACACACACACACACACACACACACACACACACACACACACACACACACACACACACACACACACACACACACAGCCCTGCCTACTTCCCGTCTTCACCTTAACTCCGCACAGCTGGCCACAGCTGACTACAGCCCTAGCTGCATGCAAAGGTCAGGAAGACGGGCAGGCGGGGGAAGACTCTTCCCGACACCGAGGAGCCAATATCTGTGCGCCCCGGGCTCGGGGAAGTGGTTAGCCTGACCTCTGCGCCCTCCCCACCCAGCGCCCCCCCTTTCCTGTTGGGGCCCCCTGGGCCGCTGCCCCCGCCCGCTTCCCGCCAGGTGTTTCCTCTTGGGCTTCGCCAAGCCGCCCTACTCCGCTGCCGCGCTCCTCTAAGTCCTGGGTTCGAGACCGTTCCTCCCTGGGGCGGGAGAGTGAGCGTCGGGGCACACGGGGCCAGGGCTGGGAGATGAGGCTGAGATTTCAACGGGAAAAAAAGGTCTTCCCTCCCGCCAGCCCAAGGAGTGCTTCCCAGCCTTTTGTCCTCTGATCGTAAAAAAAAAAAAATGGGGGGGAGAGGGAGTGTCTGAGATCTGCCCAATGCCTGCCCTGGCTGGGGAGGGGTTCAAGGGGAGGGGGATCAGGAAATCCCCCCTCCCATCGTTCCTCCACCCCTGAGAGATAGGGTTTGGGGGCGGGCGGGCCACCCTCCCGGAATCCAAACCTCAAATCTTGGCTCTTTGGTCAAGTGGGAAATCACCCCCCGGATGTGAGTGGGGGGAGGGCCGAGCCTCGAAAGAAGAGTCCCGGGTTCCCGGTAAGAGGAGGGGCTGGGGAGAGGATGAGACTTGGACCTATAGGAAATGAGCCGTGTCCTTGGGTGTCTCTGAGGCTAGAGAAGTCATAAGCTAGGGAAAGAGCTTCTTGAAACACTCTTACCTCTTCGCTGCCCATTCAGCTTCCCCCTCCCTGGGGGACTCCCCCCCCCTTCTCTCTTTCTGTCCATAAAAGGGAATGGCAGGGAGTCAGGGGAAGGGGGTGGGAGGGGGCTGGGCTGCTGCTCTCGAGCTGTCAGGGGTAATGGAAGCCAGTTGCTTTGTGGTAGGGAGGGGAGATAGGGAAGAGGGGGAGGAGCAGGGCTCAGGAGCTACCCTGAGGTTGAAACGGGTGGGGCGGGGCAGGGGTGGGCATCGAGGGAGCTGCACTGGCACACCTGGCTCTATCCAACACATGAATACTGCTCTTCTCTTTCCCCACAACGGCACCACTCCCTCCCTCGGCAACAACACCCCGACTGCTCAGTCCCAGTCATCAACCTTTACTTCTTCAGCAGTAGCACCAGCGTTTCCTAAATCTTGGATCCCCACCCAATTCTTTTCAGACATCTCAGACATCTCTTTTCCTCTCTCCACCCCACCTCACTACCGTAACCCCACACTGAGTGCTTTAGCATATGCCACTTTTACCCATCTCCAAAATGGGGGGGGGGGAAGATTCCTTTCCAGCTCAATTTTCCTCTTGGGAGAGCCCACCCATAGAAACTGAAAGAGTCTTCAAACGTCTCGTCATTCCTAGTTCAGTTCCTCAGAGCAGTTTGAGGGCCCAGCGAGAGAGCTTGGGATCCACTTCCCAGTGAACTGATTCCCTTTACCCTCTTTGTGGACTCAAACTCGAAGACTGATCCGGATGGAAGCTGAGGCTTCCTAAATATAGAGAACCTAGCCAAGCCAAAACCAGACTTGTTGGGATTGCTTCAGATTCCCAGGGCTAAAGCAGAGCACACTGACCTCCAGGGGCCTTGGAGCCCTTTCGCAGGTATATTTTCATCCTTTCAGTGTATTAAGTGTCTCCTCTGTGGAAAGCAGTCCCACAGAATCACAGAATTTCTTAGCTTGAAGGGACTCCAGCAGCCATGAAGTCCAACCCAAGCCTTCAGAAGAATTTCCTCCGCAACAGACCCTGCACGTGGTTATCCAAATTTCACCTGAAGACCTCCAATGACAGGGGTCCCACCGACAGGTTTGGACAGCTCTAGAAAGTGCCTACTTTGTTTTCTTTGCAACCTTCATCCTTTCTTTGCTCCCAGTTCTATTCTCTAGGGCTAAACAAAGTAGGTCTAATCCCTCTTTCG